TTTTGAATTCACTGCTGCCTGAACTAACTTTATTTTCACCATTTCTCAGAAAGCCTTCGAGCCCTAAATCAGATGACCCTTTAACAGTGAATCTAACCCACGACACAGACGTTTATAATGCAGCCACAGGTAGATTGGTTTTACTTTTCTCCTGTGTGTCACTAACTGGCCTCATTAGTCATTATGCTACCGTCCAATAATCCTTCTCCTCACTCGCACAATCATAGCCTGCAGCATGTAACCCATACCCCCCAATGATCCATGTTCTGATATGCATGCATGGCTCCTGCAAAGCAGACCTGGTTACCTTTTGTTTGTGTTACAGTCTATGTTGCCCTTCTGTTCATGTTCACATGTTTGAGTGTGTTGTCTGTCTTTGCTGTCACTGTTTTTAGTATTTTAGTTGGAAATGTTTGTGTCTAAGCAGAGGCAGGAAATGTAGGATTTTGCTGCAGGAAGTCAACAGCCTTAGGTGCATGCTGGGTGATAGTGAAGTCACAGCGCAGGGCACTGATTGTCACACTTGTTGCAAACTGCTCAGAGCGCCCGTTATCATCTTCTTCCAGACGCAGTGTCTTTCTATGATGGCAAGGAGGGGAGAGTGACCAATGGGACGCGACATAGCGTGGCGTCGGTACCTGCTGACATCAGCAACAGGAGCAGCTACAGTATCCCAGCCACAGTGTAGAGACGCCCCAGCAGTGGGCGGAGGGACATTGATGCAATGTTTACTTACTCTGAAGGAAAAGAAAGTTCACAGAAAGACTTTTCAGGATGAATACGAGCAAAAGTAATCCTGTTAATAATGCTAATTTTTTAGGACATTATATACAGATATTTTCTCACTACAAAGGAGGCTAAAAACCTACACTCACTGCTCCCTCTCCCCTCCTCCTGCCACCTAAATGGCCTCTGACTTTATACCAAACATTATCGTGTCTGGCTGTTTGTTTCTTTGCTCACTGTGTCTGTCTGCAGTTGCACGACTACAACTCTACTTTGCTCTACTTGTCTCAAGTGCATTTTTAAAATCGGGCTGATTTGTAAATACGCTTTATTATACTCACAGGAAACGTGTGTATATACTTTTGGTTGATCCCTTTTCTGACTGGAAGAGAGACTTGTAGAATAAATATAATGGTTTAATTTAGAGGTGTGTTGGTGCCCTTTATTCATTATACTTCTTTTTTTTTCTGCTCATCTGAGGATACATTTGTGTAAAAATGTCCAAGAATAATATTTATTATTATCATACATGCATAGTGTTTGGTTATCCTAAACCCAAGGCAAAAAAAAATCAACATTAATATCTCAGAAAGAATGTGTGCAACAGAGACTTCCTTGAAAAACTGAAACAATGGAGTCTGCAAGAGACTTCCTATGTTGGAGCAGAGCACGCTCACGGGGATCGTTGCTGATAAAAACCAGTGTTGGTGAGGAGGGTCGGAGCTTATTTTGTTTCAGCCCAGGCAAGTTTGAATGAGTGCAGTAGGTGGAGGAAATTAATCACACAAGCTTTGGTTTAGCAACTGGGAAGTTGTTTTTGCTTTTCAGCCGCTGCTGAATTAACAACCTATTGTTTACGAAGCAGTAAAGGATTTCTGTGTGTTCCAGATGAGAATCTAAAATCTGCTGCTTTTGTTACGGTTTCAATCTCCCCGGTGGGCCGAGCTGAGGGAGTGTGCCGCCAAAAGTTTATCTCATTATCTCCTCTGACCATGTGAAAACATGAAGGGAATCGGTTAAGATTTGGGG